CTCTGCCCTCAAAAGCACCTGATCAAACCAAGGTCAGCTTGATCAAATGCTTGCTTAGCAAACAACCAAAATCGTAAGTGATCTAATACACGTTGCTTTGGGCTTCATCACAGAGGAGGGGAGGGAATGGATGTTCCTTCTCCTCCTCTCTACTCAATGGGTCTGACCAAGAATAGCAGTCCTGGGCTACCTGATGGTATGGCGGATGGTAAAAGTGATTGGGCCACTGTATAGCCACATGGATCACTTTCACATGAAAGAACATTACCAGCACTAAACAATTGCCCTGGTATAATCACTTGTTCCCTAAAGGAAGTGATTAAGGGGTCTGTTTATGAATGTTTTTGCCCAAGATTCACATGTTTCCAATTTGATGTAATTCAAAAATGTGTGAATCCTGATTGAATGCTTCTAAGGATACCCTTTGATATTATATATTTTCTCACACCATATTTTGAGTTCAATGGCTCTAATTCACTGGCATTTAGAATGTCATTCTTTTTATTAAATTTTTTTTCTGCTTTTAAATCAAACTTTAGGCACATTACTCTTTCTGTCTTGGGAATAGGTTAGCACACGATGATACTCACCTTACTCCAGTATCATTGTGTGCTTCACTCCAGGATCTTGCAATTTTTCACCTTCCACTCTGCATGCTGGTTTTTGCGCATTAATGTGCATTTTCAAAGTGCCTTGCCATGCATTGTATTGGATGTCAGTGTGCTTCAAAATTCATGTCCAAGCACATTTGTGTGTCAAATTATGTGCAATTACCTGCATTATGACATGTCAGTGTGCATCGTGATGCACAGTTATACATCTTAGTGCATGCATTGCGATGCTTTTTGATGCCTCTTCATTAATTTCAATGTTAAACACATCAAGCAAACGGTCAAAGATGTTAATACAGAAGTCAAACATTAAAGACACTTGCAAATAATTAATGTTCAATATAAATGAGTTTTATAAAAGAGCAGTATCTGTTACATGATCTTTCCATAGAAGGACTTGAACCTTAAATGCTCCTCCAAACACTGAATAACATTATCATCTATCTTTGGGTCAAATTTGTTGGCAAAGAAATGATGCTGCTGGAGCATCCAGTGCAGATCCCCAGTCCCATACACACATACATCTCTTCTGTGTTCTCCAGTACATGCAGAATAAGGGGCTCCTTGCTTAATGTTCCCTTCATGGCCTCCCCATTTCACCAACCTTGATAGTGCATTCAAGTCTGATGAGTCATATTTACTGTGCTGAGGAAGAGATCCAGGCATCCAGGAAACCCTGTGAAGTGTAGCCCAGAGGAACTCATCAGGACTGTAAGTGTCCTTTGCCCAGTCCATAAATTGTCTTGCGAAGTCTAATTTAAACAAAGATTTCACAAATTCCCTGGTGAGCACAACATATGCATTACCACTGTAAATAGGCACATTTGAGGGAGGTGGCTTTTTCCTAACATCAGTCCTCACAATGCCATCTGTAACATTGTAGTGGTATTCCCATCTAATTCTTTTATGTTCAGGTGGTGGTTCAGACTCCATGCTATTTTTTCCCATTCAATAATTTTAAAGCTGTGACCATTTCAGCATTTGTCTTCAGTGGGAAATCTGCTCCGCAGGTATTGATAAGGTATTTCCATTCTACAGTACTATTCAGTAGGTCTTCCATGCAGTTCAGATCAGCCTGGACACGAGACCATGATGCATATACTACCCTTTCCAACTTAGATGCAACAAACACATTGTCAAAGCAGGAAGCTATAGCTTGTACAGCCTGATGAAAAGTTTTGGGAAGATTTAGAATCTACATGCACACAGTAAATGTTCTGGGGAGTATAAATTGATCTTAAAAGTCTCTCAAACAGCTCAATGTCGGCATGGATCACCATGGAGAAGGCAATGGGGTAATGTTTTTCTTCGTTGCTCAGACTAAACAGAACATACTTCCTCATTTTTTCAAATGTTGCACAGTCTTTGGTTAGGTTTATGTAGTCTGTATCATTGCTGATAACTTTTCTTTTTTTCATATCCAAGTTGTCATGCAAATTCTGTCTTACCTCTTCCCAGTCACCTTCAATAATTTTAGTACAGTTCATTCTGTCTCTGGCCGACAAGTTCAAAGCCATGTAGTGGTGATCCTGGAAGTGTGCAATATTCAGATACCCAGTATGGGTGGAATTATTCAGGTCACAATCCATGGAGCAATATTTTAAGACCATAATGAAGACAAATAAAATGCACCCAAAAACCAGACATTGGTTTGCATTCAGTAGTGATAGCTTCGTCCTAAAATAATTATTCATTGTTAATAAAGTTAATATTTCCTTCAGACTCTGTGTAACTGCATCACATCTTGCAACAAAAAGACTGAGACAGCTTGCCAAGAGGCTTATATGTGGTATATGTGGAACTTCAAAATAACGTGATGAACTATCCAACAAATAGGCGGCAGGAGGTTGTTGTCTATTGTAAAGAACTTGTACACCCTGCTTCTCAGGTTTCCAGTCTTCATACTATTTTATTTTCCAAGCCTTTTAGATCAGTGGTTGCTTTGGAAATATACAGGTTGATTTAATAAAGACAAATAACTTGTTCACTTTTCAAGGGAATTTGCTCAGAGCTTAGTGAATGAGGTGAAGCACTGCTCATCCAAGCATGTTCAAGCAAATATGATGTTTTTTTTTTAATTTTGCTTGCATGTCATTGGGTATTTTTTGTAAGTGAAACTTTGTCACATTCACTAAGCTCTTGGACAAATTCACTTGCAAAATTCAACTTCCTTTGCAACATGAACAGTAGAGACGTGTACAAAGGAAAAATTTGTTTAGTTTAGGATTCATTTGTTAAGTAAATCATTTCATTTTGTCATATTCATTATGTTAGAATGATTTGTTTTTGGAATTCCTTTCATATATTCGTATTTGTTTCATATAAGATGGGAGATGCTGGAGAAAGATTCTTGCAGCTAAAGATTACAGAAGGAGGGAGAGAAAGGCTAATAAAGAATCCTGCAGTGAGAGGGAGAGCTTGATGGGTCCCCTTATTCCCACCTTTGGAGGAACTGGATAGCCTTGGGACAGAGAGTCGAGGGTTAAACTACAACTGCTGAGAGCCACAAGAGCACCAATGCTTCAATGCCTATTCTTAAGCCAATATTTGGACAATTTTGTGCCATTATTTGGACTGTTCTGTTTTGTTTGCTAATTGTGCAAGCAAAGAAGTTTATTGCAACTGCAAGCCTCCATGTGAATACCTTATCAGTAGAGTAGAGCTTATTGAAATATATTCGGAAAAAAATGGAACAAAATGTATTTCATTTCAAAATTAAATTTAATCGTTAAGTTAATTTGTTACAAAGAGAAATGGTATGAGCTGATTGGACTACAGGTGTATCTCAGTTTACGAATGCCTCGGTTAACGCAATTTTCGGTTTACGAATGAAAATCCATTGAAAATAATGCCTCGGTTTACAAATTTGTTACAAATTTTTTTTGCAATATGAAGCGTATGTCAGTGCCGATTTTTAAATGCAATTGCCGGCTTTTTTTTTTTTTCTTCACTATAGCTCAAAGAATTGGCTGTCACTTTCCCCAGACCTAAAGGATACTTTGTTTCTTTTATCATGGGAAACACTAAAAGGAAACATTTTTTCTTTTAACTCAGGGAAATAAACTAAAAGGAAACTTTCTTTTTTTTAGCTGAGGGGAAAGTGACAGCTGATCTATAGCTATAGTGAAGAAAATAAAAAGCTGGTGATTACATTTAACCCCCTTTGCGCTGGCACCTCCCAGCCTTTTAATAGTTTCAGAAGCTGGGAGGCAAGCAGGGTTTTAGGGTCATATGGGCGCCGTGATTCGCCGTCACGGCGGTCACATGATCGGAAAAGGTCCCGATCGCAAAGGGAGATCGGGACCTTTCCATGAATCACGGTCATATGCGCTGGGAGCACACAGAGCGCGCACTCTCAGCACATATGTATTTTGTAATGGCACGCAAATATGCAGCCGCTCAACATCAAGGCTCAGATGACGGGAGGCTGCATATTTGCGTGCGCTTGGTGTCTAGGGGTTAAAAACCAGAACCAATGGATTGATTGGTTTTCAATGCATTCCTACGGGAAACCGAATTTTGGTTTACAAGTTTTTTGCAATACGAAATGTCCCGGAGAACGCATTAAATTCATAAACCGAGGTACATCTGTATATCCAAAAGAACGAATGGAATGAAATTAATTTTGGATTCATTCATTATGTTAAAATTCAGATAGTCTGGTGAATGCACCTCCATCCTGTTCTGAGACTCAATACTGTACCCAGGAAGGAACAGTCACAGGCCTAAAGAAGCAGCTCCAGCCCATGCACTGCCCCCAGGCCAGAGCCTGAGGGAAAGAAAGCTTGCATCAGCTAGCCCCAAATATTTATATCCTTTCCCATAATGCACTACTGGCACCACTCCAAGTGGTGGGCTGGGAAAAGATATGCATATTCATAGTCCAGACCTACTGTGTGATTTTACACTAATACCAAAAGTGGCAGTGCCACCTACTGACAAAAGGGAGAACTGTCAGGATGAACTTAGGGAAAGCTGAAAAAGACACAGACTACAAATTGGCATTAGCTGACTACAGCCATACAGCACTAAATTTGAGGCCCTGCCGAAGGCAAGGTGGTTAAATACATTCCCAAAATCCTAAATTGGGCTGCTCTACCTGACATGTTTTTTAAAAGATTTCAAGTGTTACTAAACCCAGGACCCTGCATTTACTATATCTGGTCACGCACAGTACCCAAAACATAGCAATGCAATTATTTTAGTAAACACAAACTGCTAAATATCTTTTCCCATCAGAGTATATAGCAGTCTTGTGACTTCTATCAATGTCTAGCTGAGCACTGGTTAATCTTGTAGGAGGAGTTTTCATTCTCCTCTGACTGTCCTATGAGGCTGCAGTACACCTGACCCTCTTTCTGGACAGTGCAGATTGGCCCTGTGCTGCTGACCTCTCTAGCAATACACACCAAACTGAGCATGTGCAGAGTGTCTACTAGGGCTCTGTACTATCAGCAGATGGGTTGGGGACTATGGAAGAAGGGGAGGATCAGCGAAAACAGGATCAAACAACTTTTTTACGCAATGCAGAGGATTAACCCCTTAGGTTCCACAGTGAGTATAACAAGCATCCTTTACTGCATATAAAGACTGATTTTACTGTTGTGAGTTTAGTAACACTAACATGTAAACCCAACATTTCACTGGCCACACTAGGAAAAAGGCTTGGTTCACACCTAAGCAGTTTACTTTTGATCCGTTCATGCAGTGTTTTTTGCGGTGCGTTTTTCCTTTTTGCACACACATTTTTCACATTTTTCTGCTGCTTTTTTGTTTAGCTTTGTTTTTGTTGTAGTGCAGGTTAAAAACACAGAATGCATCAAACACGCAAAAAAAGCATCAAAAACACACTCTATACGTTTCTGCTGAGTGTCAATTGAAGTCTATTGAACCAAAAATGCACTAGGTTGCATTACAAAAATTCCCTGACCCTTTCAAAAACCACAGCAGCTGAAAAACGCAGAGATGTGAACGTGTCCCTTAGGAAACCATGTTAAATGGACTGTAGTGTGTTTCTGCAAAATGCAATAAAAACACATAGATTTGCACCAGGTCTTAGAGCACATCATGGTCAGTTTTCTAGCTCTGCTTAGAACTCAGCTTGCTCTCCTCTAATGGTCAAAGCTCTGCTCACATGCCCTCCCCGTCTAGCCATTCACTTGGTAGATTAGTGTACTGCTGTTTCTCCTCCACCAGCTCTCTAAGCTCCTTGCTCCTCCATGCAGATGAGAACAGAGGTTATGCGATCACTTATATAAAAGGGAAAAAGAGTATTTATAATGTTTTTATATGTATACACAAATGTTTTGCCTTGCATTTCTTTTCTAAACTGAATGGATTGTATTACAAGGTGAGGGTTCACATATACATATGTAGGAGATGACAAACTGCTCAGCATAGTAAGCACTGCCCACATCGCTATATTGTTAACACAAGAAATATATTTTTCCCCATGGGACTTGTAAAGGCAATGTCAACAAGATGTAGCAAAAAAACTATATGTTGTTGAAATTTCCTTTAAAAGTCCTAGGGGAAATATATGTTTCTTTTGTATATCAAAATATGTCATCCTAAAAGCCCGCTACTGTCTACATTTGACAGCTGCACAAGTGCGGGTAGTCCAGAAGCAATACAGTGCCTGGCTTCGCCTTTCAATATCGGGAGTTTCCAACTCACCAACAGGCTAGAAGAGAGGCAAATACCTAACCTGCATTTTGTATTCAGCTACTAAGTAGTGTCAGGGCTCAGGAGGGGAGTTTGGAAAGTATGCAGGAAAGAGGACACATTTTCTATAAGGCAATATACTGTAGTTGAGTGCCTTGTGACTGGCAGATTTACTGGATCTCCTCTACTCAATAATCTGGCTGCAGATGTAGGATGCAGTGTAACATAAATGCTGTAATCAGGGGCGGACTGACCATTTGGAAACTCGGGCACTGCCCAAGGGCCCGGGGTCAGTAGGGGGCCCCATGAAATGCCCCTGGTACCTTTTCCATAGGCTTTTTTGAGTTTGGGCAAGGACACAGAGGCCCCATGATCCCCTATTGCCCGGGGGCCCCATGAGTTGTCAGTCCGCCCCTGGCTGTAATCTATCTGCTGATGAGAAGTGACAGCCTGACAGTATTGTAGAGCAGTGTTTCTCAACCTTTTTTCAGTCAAGGCACCCTTAAAAATGATAGACAATCCCAAGGAACCCTTTAAAATTAAAGACAGTCTTGAGGCACCCCATTCTAAAATGGGGTGCCTCAAGACTGTCCATAATTTTAAAAGGGTCCCCCATTCTAAATGTGAAAAGTTTTATATAACACAGCAACATCCACACATGTAGGACACCCATCATAAGAGGTGATTTATTCTTCCGAAGCAAATGCATGTTTGCACACTGGTACTGACTAGTATTCCAATGTTTCTCTTCTCCATCAGTTTTTTTCCATAACTGAGCTAAATGTGACCCCAGTGCTGATGGAGAGGAGCAGGCGAGGGTCAAACTAGGATGCTGTGCAGGCCTTATCAACTGATGATGTCATTGGTTGTCAGGAGGCTGGCAGCTAGAAGGTTATAATGGTGTACAATGAAAACCTGTGGACTTGTGTAACTAAAAGGCAGGCTTGTATACAAGTTTTGGCCAGTTTTTAGACATTTTGCCAAGGCACCCCTGAAGAAATCTCAAGGCACCTCAGGGTGATTGGGCACCCTGGTTGAGAAAGGCTGTTGTAGAGACATACTCCCCTGGGTGTCCCTGCTTCTTGTGGCCTTAGTCTGACAAGTGGCAATTTCAGGAATTAAAGTGGAACAAACATTTTGCAGTAAAAACGCTACAAGTTAGAGATTTTTTTTAACAAAAGAGACATACAAAGTCTCTTTTACTAAAAAAAAAAAGAAAAAAAAATCAATCAAACAAAAAAACACCCACAATTGCCCCATGCTTTTAGCAATTATGTATTTTGCACATACACTACATGGTGCATTCCCCAGATGCAGAAAATAGAGCTGGATTTTAGGGACAATTATTTTATTTTTATTTATTTCAGGTACTTATATAGCGCTGTCAATTTACACAGCGCTTTACATATATATTGTACATTCACATCAGTCCCTAACCCTCAAGGGGTGTACAATCTAAAGTCCTTAACTCACATTCATACATACACATACTTGGGCCAATTTAGACAGGATACAATTAACCTCCCAGCATGTCTTTGGAGTTGTGGGAGGAAACTGGAGTACCCAGAGGAAACTCACGCAGGCCAGGTGGAGGTGGCATATACTTCTACTTCAGATTCAATGAACATCGGTGAGTTAGGGTCTCCCCTTGGGTATTCAGACTCATGGGAAATCTGCGACAAAGGGACTTCTGATTCTGAAATGGATGCTACCCCAGTTAAGATGCTATGATGTGCTCCATTTTGGGATGCTTTGCTTAATGTGAGACTGTTAAAGTGACCGGCTAGAAGGGCTGCTTTGTTTTCAGATCTCGAATCTCTGAACTTTGATCTGTATTTGCTCCAAGAATGTGTTATTGAAAATGGCATGGACTATAGAAATTGGTGTCAGGACCATTGGCAGGTGTGAATGTGGTCTTAATAAAGTGAATTCTGACTTGTTGATCTGGGCTAATGCACTTTATACTTAAAGCTTTGCCCCTTGTGCCATGTATTGAATAGACATGTGTGTCTTTGTCCATTAATATGCTTAAATATGTTACATAGAAATCTTTATTTAAATAGATTAAAAACAGACAAAAAAACAGGGAGCGCTCAGGGATCCAATTAAATCAGATGCAATTGCACTAAAAAAGGAACCCTAGACCTTACAAATAATACAAACAGAAATCAGTGCAGCACTAAAAAATGACAGAGTGTAAAACTGAAAAATGATATTAAATAATAAATAATTATTGGTGATAATAATAATAAATCGATATTTGAGATTAGTGATAGCAAATATAGGTGGATGAAGCGCTATGATTGGCGCAATAAAGTAAGTGCAACTGTGAAAGTCTTAAAGCAAAAAGCATTCATAAGGTAGTGAAGGCATGACACAATCGGGTCAGCATACAGTGCTGCAAACGGTCCTATTGCACAGGTGGTATCAAATTATTCCATGTGGCTTTATCCATGCGGGAGATTGATAAAAATGCGCACTCACCAGATGCGCATAATTAAAGCACAATATGTTGAATAAGAATCTGCACGAAGCCCCCTTTAAATGGACAAGACAGTGTGGGAAAAGGATCCCTCCTCTGGATATGAGACTCCTCTGCAACCGCAATATCACTGGGGTCCTGGAAATCATTAGCTTCCTCTTCTTCATGGACTTCAAGGATTAGAGACTGTTAATTTGGCAAGGTGAATGTAAAGTGGAATGTAAAGTTCACCTAACTTAATTAATAAGCTGGAGCTGTGTTTACTTTAATCATCCAATCAAATGCAGGCAAAAAAAAAAAAATTAATTTCCTATATACATGAGTGTTTTTCAAAGCACAAACTCTTCAGCAGAATGGGTCAGTTTGCATGTATAAGACAAATCATCTAACACTGGCATTTGTGCTCAAATTGATCTGCTTTTATTTATTCATATAAAACCTTTATACCACAAGAAAAACATCTGTTTCTTGTAACTGATTATAAAATGTGAGCTGGGGTTTGGCTTTATTTTTTACTTTATTTAAATCTGCTCATACATTTATCACTACTCTCCCACCAGACTGACAATACTGCTGTCTGCTGTGCCTCCTGTGCTCATTCAGACAGAGTTGTGTCTCACTAATACTGGCCAGATCACCAGATGAAAACAGAGGGAAAAGCCAAAGAAAAGAAAACTAATGCAGCCACCACATCTAATGACTGCTGCAGAAGTTTACATTTTTTGGTTTTGGGTTTAATACCACTTTAAAGTGTTCACACCTTCACTTTATTTCTTTAAGCTAAATGAACACTCTGTTTTTCTCTAAAGAGTATCTTAAGGAAAGTGTGTGGTTGCCATTGCTGGACTTCTTGTCTGACCAGGGGCGGACTGACCATTTGGAAACTCGGGCACTGCCCGAGGGCCCGGGGTCAGTAGGGGGCCCCATGAGATGCCCCTGGTACCTTTTTCATAGGCTTTTTTTGAGTTTGGGCAAGGACACAGGGGCCCCATGATCCCCTATTGCCCGGGGGCCCCATGAGTTGTCAGTCCGCCCCTGTGTCTGACTTTAAAAGGCTTGAGTCACAGACTAAGAACAAGAATGCTATAAATATGTACAGAGAAAAGCTTATATCTGTATCATTGTTCCTTGTCAGGAAGGTAAAGCTTCATCATGACAGCCAGAAAACTAGCATTCTCAAAAGGAGGTACAGTAATGGCAGCCTCTGTGATTCTCACATGACAGAATTAGAAGACATAATTTTTTAATACGTTTAAAACATTGAGAGTTTCCATTCTTCTAATGTTTTTCCATCATCATTGTTACTGATCCTGTTTGCTTAGCACAAACTCAAGAACAACCTGAGTAGAGGTAAGAAGAGACCTGGTGATAACCAGCAAGAGTTTTATTGCCTGTATTACGTTCATGGATGTGGAGCGCCACCTTGTGATTTATGAAGCACACCTTACTCCCATGGCCATAATATTTACAGGTTTCTCTTATACAGTAAAACAATAAACAAACAGAAGGCGCCACCATCTAAGTGTATCAGTTTAACCACTTGCCCTCCAGAGGATTTACCCCCTTCCTGACCAGGTCATTTTTTGCATTTCAGCACTGTGTTACTTTAACTGACAATTGCGTGGTCATGCAACGTTGCACCCAAATAAGATTTACCGTATTTTTCGCTCCATAAGACGCACTTTTTTCCCCCCGAAAAAGGGGAAAAATGTCAGTGCGTCTTATGGAGCGAATATGGAGCGGCTGGTCCAGTATTTCCACCGCCGCCGTGTCAAAATACCGGGCCGGCTGCACAGCTATGCAGTGGGACCTTACCTGTTCCTCTATCCAGCGGCGCTCTGTCTTCCCGGCTTCTGTAGTGTGCGTGACAGCCAGGTCCCAAGTGCACGTGCGCAAGAAGCGGTGCTCTTTGTAAATGGTAAGGCGGTACATGGGACACATGAGCCATCCCAGAAGCCGCCGGACCAATCACAAAGCACAGCGATTCTCGCTCATGCGCAATGGGCATCCGGCTGTCTGCCAAGCGCCCACACTACAGAAGCCAGGTAGACAGCGCGCGGCTGGATAGAGGAGCAGGTAAGATCAAAGAACAACTCCGCGGAAGTAAGAGCGGGTACCTGTCAAATTCAGGTACCCGCTCCCCCTCCCTCCCCAAAGGTCAGCAGTCATCTCCTGTACTGTCCACAGTCTCTGGTCATCCCTGTACTGTTCGCAGTCTCTGTTCATCTCCTCTACTATGTCCGCAGTCTCTGGTCATCTCTTGTACTGTGTCCGCAGTCTCTGGTCATCTCCTGTACTGCCGCAGTCTCTGGTCATCTCCTGTGCTGTCCGCAGTCTCTGGTCATCTCCTGTGCTGTCCGCAGTCTCTGGCCATCTCCTGTGCTGTCCGCAGTCTCTGGTCATCCCTGTACTGCCGCAGTCTCTGGTCATCCCTGTACTGTCCGCAGTCTCTGGTCATCTCCTGTACTATGTCCGCAGTCTCTGGTCATCCCTGTACTGTGTCCGCAGTCTATGGTCATCCCTGTACTGTCTGCAGTCTCTGGTCATCCCTGTACTGTGTCCGCAGTCTCTGGTCATCCCTGTACTGTGTCCGCAGTCTCTGGTCATCCCTGTACTGTGTCCGCAGTCTCTGGTCATCCCTGTACTGTGTCCGCAGTCTCTGGTCATCCCTGTACTGTGTCCGCAGTCTCTGGTCATCCCCTGTACTGTGTCCGCAGTCTCTGGTCATCCCCTGTACTGTGTCCGCAGTCTCTGGTCATCCCCTGTACTGTGTCCGCAGTCTCTGGTCATCCCCTGTACTGTGTCCGTAGTCTCTGGTCATCCCTGTACTGTGTCCGCAGTCTCTGGTCATCTCCTGTACTATGTCTGCAGTCCATTAGTTCAGAATTTTTTTTTCCTGTTTTCTGCCTCTAAAACCTAGGTGCGTCTTATGGTCAGGTGCGTCTTATGGAGCGAAAAATACGGTATGTCCTTTTTTTTACTATGAATTGAGCTTTCTTTTGGTGGTATTTGATCACCTGTGTGTTTTTTAATTTTTCGTGCTAAAAAAAAAGTCCGACAATTTTGAACAAAAAACAATATTTTTCGCTTTTTGCTATGAAACATGTTCAGTAAAAGAAATTAAAAAATCACATTTTGTCATAAATTTAGGCCAAAATGTATTCTGCTACATGTCTTTGCTAAAAAAAAAAAAAATCCCAGTATGTGTAAATTAATTTTTTTATGTTAAAGTTATAGTGTGTACAAATGGCAGTATATATACTGGGATTTTTTTTTTTAATTGTTAGTAGTAATGGCGGCGATCGGTGACTTATAGAGGGACTGCGGTGGGCATTCTGACACTGACTAGGTGTCACTGACATCCCCAATGGCACCAATACAGTGATCAGTGCTACAAAAAAAGCACTGACACTGTACTAATGGCAGTGGGCAGGAAGGGGTTAATGTGAGGGGCAATCAAAGGGTTAACTGTGTGCTGCTGTTTTACTTGTGTCTGTGTCTGAGTGCTTCACTGTAAGCACACTGCTTTGCATGACTGTGCTGTTCACAGTCATCCAAAGCAGTGTGCAGGAGCTGACAGGGAGAGAACTGTTTTGTTTATAAACAGTTCTCCTCCAACGTCGGAGATGCATGGAAATCACCAGGTGCCGGCAAGTAATCACCGGCCAGGACCCAGTGATTGACAGCCGTGGCCGCAAGCGGCGGTGCGGGTAGGGGGGCGTGACCCTACCCGGCAATGCAAAATCACGTATATATACGTGATTTTGCGCTCCCGTGCCGCCCTGCAGTAGTATTTCTGCTATAGGGCGTTCGGGAAGCAGTTAATTACAAACAAGCAAAGGGAAGGGTTAAAATACACTCACAAGGATGAGAGTAAATGGGCATATCATCAGTCCTTAGTCGCTGGCAAACTTTGGTGGACAGTGGATGGATGGATGAGATGTATCCTTAAAACAGCTCTGCAGGATAGGTGGAATAAAGCTGGACTTTGTCAGAATGCAGATTAAGTCCATATGACAGGCTGTGTCTTCCTCCAGCAGCAAATATAGCCACACTGGAATGCAAGCCAGCGATAGGACCAGAATCAGAAGTGACGTCTGGACATATTTGTAGCAATTGTACGTACAAATATGGATGCGAACATCCATTTTGGTAAAGACCCTCCATCTTGTATCACTTGCCAGCGAATAAGGACTGATATACCCATTTACTCTCATCCTTGTGAATGTATTTTAACCCTTCCCTTTATTTGTTTTTAATTAAATTGATACACTTAGATGACAGCGCCTTATGTTTGTTTATTGTTTTAGTGCACAGAAACATCCACTACCCTGTTAGAAGAGCTGCAGCCATTATAGAAGTGGATTAACACACCTGTATCTACCATATAGAGACTACGGCTTCTTGCTTGGGACCTAATCCCTCGTCCTCCATTTGTGCTATAGAGTTTTTTATGTTTTTGTTCTCTTATACAGTATATGGATAATATTTCTAGTTTGGCTCGTATACCATTTGTATGTTTGTGGCTTTAGTTAGCAGGGGGCAACCCAGCTGTAGCAAGTTTCCCTATTAACAAATATACTGTGCATATATATATATATATATATATATATATATATATATTTATATATATATATATATACACTATATTGCCAGAAGTATTGGGACACCCCACCAAATCATTGGATTCAGGGGTTCCAATCACTTTCATGGCCACAGATGTATAAAATCAAGCATCTAGGCATGCAGACTGCTTCTACAAATATTTGTGAAAGAATGGGTCGCTCTCAAGAGCTCAGTGAATTCAAGCATGGTACCGTGATAGGTTGCCACCTGTGCAATAATTCCATCTGTAAAATTTCCCTGCTACTAAATATTCCATGGTCAACTGTTAGTGGTATTAAAACAAAGTGGAAGCAACTGAGAACAACAGCAACTCAGCCATAAAGTGGTAAGCCACGTAAAATGACAGAGCGGGGTCAGCGCATGCTGAAGTGCACAGAGTGCAGATGTCGCCACCTGTCTGCACAGTTAATAGTTAAAGACCTACAAACTTTGTGTGGCCTTCATATTAGCACAACAGTATGTAGAGAGCTTCATGGAATGGGTTTCCATGGCCGAGCTGCTGCATCCAAGCCTTACATCACCATGTGCAATGCAAAGCATTGGATGCAGTGGTTTAAAGTACACTGCCACCACTGGACTCTAGAGTAGCAGATACGTGTTCTCTGGAGTGACGAATCACGATTCTCTGTCTAGCAATCCAATAGACATGTCTGGGTTTGGCAGTTGCCAGGAGACAAGTACTTGCCTGACTGCATTGTGTCAAGTGTAAAGTTTGGTTGAGGGGGGATTATGATGTGGGGTTGTTTTTCAGGGGTTGGGCTTGGCCCCTTAGTTCCAGTGAAGAGAACTCTTAAGGCATCAGTATAACAAGACATTTTGGACAATTTCATGCTCCCAACTTTGTGGGAACAGTTTGGGGATGGCCCCTTCCTGTTCCAACATGACTGCACACCAGTTCACAAAGCAAGGTCCATAAAGACATGGATGAGAGGATTTGGGGTGGATGAACCTGACTGGCCTGCACAGAGCCCTGACCTCAACCTGATAGAATACCTTTGGGATGAATTAGAGCAGAGACTGTGAGCCAGGCCTTCTCGTCTGAAATCAGTGCCTGACCTCACAAATGCCCTTCTGGAGAATGGTCAAACATTCCCATAGACACACTCCTAAACCTTGTGGACAGCCTTCCCAGAAGTGTTGAAGCTCTCATAGCTGCAAGGGTAGGTCAACTCCATATTGAACCCTACGGACTAAGACTGGAATGCCATTAACGTTCATGTGCGTGTAAAGGCAGGTGTCCCAATACTTTTGGCAATATAGTGTGTGTGTATGTGTGTATATAAATATATATATATATATATATATATATATATATATATATATATATATATATAAATCACCCTCCTAGTGCAGCTAGGGAGAGCTAGACCCTAATGGCTAGTCAGGAGCTGTTTAGCAGCTCAGGTGTGATAGTCAGAGGGGTCAAATTGTGGTCAGAGCTGAGAGACTCTGCAAGCCAACCCCTCTGGAATTTCCCCCTGTTCTGAGACTTGCAGAGGAGGGCATTGGAGGCAGTGAGTGGATCTGAGGAATGGCTGGCTGCAGTCTTGAGGGACCTCAGTGAATCCCCAACAGAAGGCTTGTCAAGGGGCTGGGACTCCTTTAAAAGTGTTAGAGCCTGCTCAGTGACAGGAGTGTGGTGGTGGGAGAAGTGTAGAGAAGGGAAGAAGATGTGAAGCTGGAGGAGAAAGGCTGTCAGGAGGCCTAGTGAGATGGGGCCTGCCTGCAAGCCTGGAGCAGGAAAAGAGGAAAACTCATTGGCCCCCTGAGCAAGGAACGCCTGTATTGCAGGGAAGAAGCAGCCCAGCTGATAGGACTGGTAGCAGCAGCCATCTTGAAAGAGGTACAGGAGAGGATCTAAGTAAGTACACCTGCACCCCCTGGGCAGATAGGGAAAGGTGCACACTGGTGTAAAAACAGATTAGCCCCTACTAGTGTCTGTTCACCTCAATTAAAGGAACAGGAGCCAGATCCCCCGCTCAGGAAGAAAATCTCCAGATTGCTGGATGAAATTGAGTTCATCTATGGTCTGGGGTAGTACAACTAGGAGCTGCTGGCTAGCACTCCAACAGAGAACGCATCAGAGAAGGAGAAGCTTGTGAATAGTTCAATAGTTCAGGAAGTTGTCCTCAGATATCAGTTCCCTTGAGCATCCTATACCCCCCTTATCTTATCCAAGTTCTAATCACCTCAATAAAATAACAAAACCAATGCTCAAGGACTGGTTTCTGGCTCTGGATAAAAGCTTGTGTGGAAAATGCTAAATGACCTGCTGTGAAGGACTATAAGGGGATCCAATTCATCAGCAATCCGTAAGGGGGTAGTGCTACATATATATATTGTATAGATAGATAAAACAGTTGTAACTTTAAGAAAGGGGTCCACTGAGGTCCGAAAAAAAGTCAGCGGATATGTCCCCTTTAGAACTTTCTTGCTGCTACATTTTTTTGTTTTACTTTATAACAATGCACTTTAAAATGGAAACTCAATACTGTAAATTGCAACCCATTGTAATTGAGAAATAAGAGCCTCACCAAAGCTCTTGCTGACTCTATCCAAAAATTTAAAAAAAGAGATGGTTGGAGTTAAGCTTTAAAGGAACTCTATCATGTAAAAATTATGGAGGCTGAGGATTTCTGAACTCTTCTTTTGGAAATGCTAGTTCCTTCGCTGTTATGCTGATGCCTTGCCTTCAACGCTTTGAGTCACTGAGCCAAAATAAGTATAAAGATAACACATTTTGACACGTCTCTAATACTCAGCTAAGCAACTAGCCAGCAAAGGCAGTCCCCACACCTACCTTGTGACAGTGTGATTTTCAGAGCAGATGCATGTGATTTTTAAATGTAATTGTGAAAATGGGAAAACAGAGAGTATCATACATTATGCAGTACTCATCAGAGAAGAATGCCAAAAAAGGGCAATGCTGTAGTCTTCTGCTGTCCTTTAGGGGCAGGCATATGTAGCAAGTAGTGATGGGCTGAACACCCCCATTTGGTTCACGGTCGAACATTCGAACCTAATAAAACACATCTCCATTGTTCTATAGTCAAGTGGCAACATGCTTTACACCCACTGTATCCAACGCTTTGCTTTGCACTTGGTGATGTAAGGCTTGGATGCAGCTGCTCATCCATGGAAACCCATTCCATGAAGCTCTCTACGCACTTTTGTTGTGCTAATCTGAAGGCCATATAAAGTTTGGAGGTCTTTAGCTATTAACTGTGCAAACAGTCAACAACTTCTGCACACTGTGCACTTCAGCATGCGCTGCTCTGTCATTTTACGTAGCCTACCACTTTGTGGCTGAGTTGCAGTTGTCCCAGTTGCTTCCAGTTTGTTATAATACTTCTAATAGTTGACTGTGGAATATTTAGTAGCAAGGAAATTTCACAGATGGACTTATTACACAGGTGGCAACCTATCACGGCACCACGCTTGAATTCACTGAGGTCCTGAGAGTGTCTCATTCTTTCACATATGTTTGTAGAAGCAGTCTGCATGCCTAGGAGCTTGATTTTATACACCTGAAGCCATGGAGGTACTTTGAACATCTGAATCCAATGATTTGGTCCCAATTCTTTTGACAATATAGACAAAATCTTTTTTTCTTTAGTTTTAGATTGGAGTGGGAAAAGATTAGAGCACCTGTCAGTTTTTTTCTCCTATCTGGGGCTTTGTTACAAAGAAGCAACAATAAAGAAAAAAATACTAACAAAATGAGTGTTCAGGCAGGGCAGGAGCCCATAACATCAAAAGGCTCAACCCGCAGGGCTTCTTCTGTATTTGGACAACCTTTTCCTCCTTTTTGAGGGAAGAAGGTGGTAACCATAATGCTCTTCTCATTAATATTTATCCCATCTTCCGTGCAACAGTGTGCTCTCTGGTCATGATAGGCGTTTGTATCCTGCCCTGATATACCTATATTTCTGGGCTGGTTGGGATTCCCCCCATGAGAGATTTAATCCCGGCTTGCTTTTCCCTTATTCACTGCGCTGCAGTTTGTGAGACTCACAACAGCTCTATCCCTGGGCTAATATAGGATCGGGACCATGTTCACCTTAACATGCCATTTATACCTGGAGGTCCTTAGATAATCTATGGACAGGAACTGCCGCACATTGATTATACTTACCGAATATTACATACATCATTCATATTTCTGAGGAAGTTGAACTTTGAGTTGAGAGCTCTTCCCACTCCCAGTTCAATGCCTCAATCAAATCAAATAGCACATGACTGATTATCTTACTGTACACCTAATATGGTTAATGATGTGTAAATATAATACCTGGGTGGTTGACTACTCTGAATGAGGTTTTAATTTACTTCAATGCTTTGAATGAATGTGAACATATTCATTGATTGTTTTAAATGTACAGGATGCATATAATGTTTAATCAGTAAATTAAATTAACAGTCATTTTGTTGGATACCTTATGAGTCTATTCATCTTTTTTTCTTGTTTGTAGACCTAATTTAGTAGCATCAGTATTGATCAGTTACCTTTATTTGGTGTTATTAATTATTCTGTTCTTGTTACTTTTATTGTAAGCTGACCAAAGTGTAAAAAAAAAGTATTTTGCACATAACAGTTTAAAATTTTTTTTAAATGTTTAGCCCTGGTTCACACTGTGCAGGCTGGTTGTGGGTGCGGAAACTGCATCTGTTTCCACACCAGCAACCAAATAGCGCTGCTCTTATGAGATGCATGGGGCTGCCATTAATTCTGCACGGTAAACCACGCATCTCAGCTCAGTGCTCACTTGCAGGTGCCGGAACCACAGGGAAATCACATGGTCAAAAAGACAAATGAATGGGCTGCCACATGGCCCGCACAGGTGTGAACAGGGGCTAAAACTTGTTTTTATTTTGTACACATTGGGGTAGATTTACTAAAACTGGAGCTGTCAGGATCTGGTGCAATCAGATTCTAACTTCAGCTTGTTCAATTAAAGTGGTTGCAAAAGGTTTAAGGTTTTTTACATTCTATGCATGAAGGTAAAAAACCTTCTGTGTGCAGCAGCACCCTTAACCCCCCCAATACTCACCTAAGCCCCCTCTCGATCCAGTGGTGTGCAATGGAGGCTATCTTGGGACTCCCTCTTCTCATTGGCTGAGAAGAAAACAGAAACGGGAGCCATTGACTCCCACTGCTGTCAATCACAGCCAGTGAGCCAATGAGAAAAGAGAGAGGGTGGGGCCGAGCCGTGGCTCCATGTGTGAATGGACACACAGAGCAGCAGGTGCTCCCATAGCAAGCTGCTTGCTGTGATGGCACCCAACAGGAGGGAGGGGCCAGGAGAGCCTGGGGGAATCCGAGAAGAGGAGGATCCAGGCTGGTCTGTGCAAAACCACTGCACACAGCAGGTAAGAATAGACATGTTTTTTTTCTTTAAAAAAAAAAAGCCTTTAGAATCACTTTAACCACTTGCCATCCTGAGGATTTACAGCCCTTAAAGCAGAGTTCCAGCTGAAAAAAAAAAATAAAAGTCAGCACCTATAAAAACTGTAGCTGCTGACTTTTAAAATACAGTCACTTGGGGCGCATGCGCGACCAGGGATGATGTCGGATGCGGATTGCTGAGCTCCGCTCATCCCCGGCCAGTAGTGACTCACCCGCTCCGCTCCACGGCATATTCTCTGCTACGGTGAGTCACACAGTACAAGCACCCGGCCCAGCATAAGGGAGAGGCTTTCATGGGGAAGATAGGGCGCTGGAAGCCCCCCTCCCCGCAGCCGCAGGATCCGCGGCCCTCGCCGCTCCGACGATTTTTGACTAGGCTGCAATCCCCGACCTCAAGTAGTATCAGGAGTCCGAGGAACGATCCCGGACCCCCAGTGGCCGCGGAGGGTACTGCACCCTGCATTATAACAGAGCAGCTGACAGCCTCTGCTCTGATCCATCCACAAATGGAGGATTCTGATTCCCAAGCCACAGCAGGAGGGGTTATGGACCACCCTACACCAGGATATCTTCCTACCCCTAGCCAAAACCCTCAGCAGGCTATATTGTCATCTACGCTTACAATCTCTGCGTTGGACGATAAGTTGCAAGTCTTTTTACGTAATATCACCGCCTCCATAACCGCTGAAGTTGGTAAATTGGCTATAGATCTCAGACGGGAAATAGCCCAGATTGGGGATAAACTGGAAAACAAGTTTGATGATTTGGTGCAATACGTTCTCGATCACCACACCACCTTCAGCAACATCGTGTCCAGTATCGTTGGGTTTCCCTTCAAGCTGTCTTTCTAGGCCACATACTCAAGTAGTTCTCCGGGATCTTTTCATGAAGCTGACCTCTTTCCTATAAATCAGTTTTGGACTATCCAGTCTTTATCGAATGAAGTGTACCTCTTTGTCCGCTACCCCATCCCCGTCCTTCTCCAACACCCCCAACAAGATCTGGACTACCAGTCCGCGGAGGTCGGAAGAGACCTCCTCACACACCCCGCAACGTCCACGTTCTTCTCGATCAAGTTGGATCCACCTGCCTGAATGATTCTCCAGGGGTAACCTTCCTGTGGCTAAATCAGGTGCTGTTTCTCCCTCCTCTCGTCTGTTTTCATACATGTTTTTTATTACCGGTTTTTAGTCATTTTGGCCGACCAAACCCTTGTTGGTGCATTTTTTGCTTCTGTTTCTTCTGTTTCTCCTTGCCGGTTTGAGTGACCTCCCGGATGTGTCGAGATGTCAGTGCTAAACCCCCGATCCTTGTCCTAGCCATTGGCCTAGACGACTTGGACTTAGTTGACGTTCCCATTTATATCCTGCGTGATACCAGTTGGACTTAGTTGACGTTCCCAAGTTTATATCCTTCGATCACCTGTTTTCACTTGATAATCATTTCTTGGTATGTTATTTGCTTGTTTTAAGTTTTTTTGAGGTTTTCTATTCAACTACATTCGATGGTATTTCACTTATTTGTCATGCAAATAAATGTAGTTCAGTTGTTGTTATTACATAATGGCTTTGAGTATTTCTGTCAGGGGGTATACATGTTAAGGGGCTCAACTCTCAACTCCATTTCAAAAACGGTGTGATGACTTTGAAGGAGATTTCGATCCTCAGGAGCAGACATTATTTTTGTCCAAGAGACCCATAGATCAAATCATCCCGGCTCCTTTCCGTGTTTGCCACAGATATTTTTTTCCCCAGGCCTATACGGCCTTTGATCTTTTCCGGCAAGGGGGCCTGGGTGGCAATTTTGATTAGGTCACACTGCTCCCTTCGGGTTTTTTCCTCCAGGTTGACCAACAGGGTCGCATTATTATTTTGGAATGTATGCTTGGTGACACCCCCCTTGTTTCTGTAATTTATACGCCCCAAATACGGGTCATTGTCAGTTCCTTTCCCAAACAGTCTCTATGCTTGGTGACACCTCCCCTTGTTCTGTTGAATTTATACGCCCCAAATACGGTCAATTGCAGTTGCCTTTCCCAAACAGTCGCTGACTAGATTCCATTTCCACTTCGCAGGTGGAAATTGTTGGGGGTGATTTTAATTTGATTTTTTTCCCCCATAAAGACAGGAAGAGTTCCTTTTTGAGTCCACCCCCTCGGTCGCAATGCTCCCTCTATCAAAATCTTTTTCGTAGCACTGAAAAGGAAGCATCGTCTCTTCGACGCCTGCCGGGATTAAACAACCCCCTTCATAAACAATTCACTTTCTACTCCAACCCTCTCACCATAGTTACTCGATCAGATGTCTCGTCTAGATCACTTTTTCATCTCTGCCCCCACACTGCTTTCACTTCTGTTTTCTTGCTGAAATCAACCTCATCACTTGGTCTGACCATGCCTCTTTAGACTTTAGAACCTTTTTTTTTTTTTTCCTCCTGTTATAAACCCAAACCATGTCCATTGGCGCCTTAATGAGACCTTTCAATTGCACAGACCATCTTAGAGATGAACTGTGCACAGGGACTTGTGATACCTACTTTACACACAATGTTGCTCCGTATCCCTCTTCCTCAACTCTGTGGAGGCCCATAAGGCGTCTTTCGAGGACTCTTATTTCATGCCGTTGCCCTCCTCCTCCACTCTGTGGGAGCCCCATAAGGCGGTCTTTTCGAGACGCTGTATTTCTATGGGTTTCTCGTTTAAAAAGTCCTCGCGATGCTAGGCTCTCTTATACATCCACAGCTATCTTTGTAGGAAACGACGGTTACTGGCACAAGCCGACCATTTCCTGGTCTCCATAGGGTAACATCTCTACGGGACCTGAATTAAAGGTTCTTGAGCTCCAGTAAGACTGCATCAATCCCTCCTCTGGGTTAAGCAGAAAATATTAATGAATTTTTCCAACAAACCCCATCGTATGTTAGTCATACATTCGACGCAAAACTCCAGATCCCCTTCTACGATGACCTGACCATTTAATATACAGCCAAATGGAAGCCCTACCTATGACCCCTTCTGGGATATGGCAACCCTTTTCTGGCTCATTCTAATGGGAAACTGTATAACTGTTTTTGACACCCAGACCTTCACCCGCCCCT